TTTTGTAGCTTTGCATGAAAACTTGGATTTTTGTTTGTTTGTTTATTTGTTTGTTGTTTGCACATGCAACCCTGAAAGATGGCATGATGATAATGTGACGATGTGGAGAACATAAAACTAACATCACTGATATAAAATAAACTATATTCACATATTTTTACACTTTCATGTCAAAAGCAAAGTAAAGATATACTGTATTTTTGTTTGTGGTAGTTATATACCGGTATATACTGTGTATATATATATATATATATATATATATATACATTGGTATTTCGGATCAGAGTGGATGTACAAAGATTTAAACTGCCACAGCCGTGTTTTTGTCAAATGTGCACAGTGTTTTTTTAATGAACTCAGACGTTTCTCTTTTGGGTCAGACTGACCCGGCAGTCTGCAGAGTCTCTTTGCAGCATCTGTGAGTTTTACACTTTGTGTCATTTTTTTGTGGTGAATCGTGACAAATCAAATAAAAACCCTCACATTTTATGTTGTCCACTCGTAGACTGTAAAAAACTGGAAGGAGCTGTTCGCTGTAATGTATGAAGCTGAAAATAAAAAGAAATACGACCACTTCTTATGATGCCTCCATCTCAGAGCTGAATCAGAGGCAGACTGATGATGATGATTTAGTGTTTGTGCATCATTTTTAGTCTTTGCACATCCTAAACCACTTTAATTAGTGTTTTGTTTTGTTTTTTGTCCAAAGCATTGACTAAGAAAACAAATATAGAACTAGATAAACTGAATTTTCTGCAAAAATGCAGTGAATTTGTTTTGCTGAATGATTTCTGCGTAAAGCTGCTGAAGAAGCTGAAACCAGGCTAAAAGGTTTTGTGGCTAAACTGTTAATGTGCGTTGAATTGGAACAGCTGACATTAGGAAAATAACAGCCGGAAGCAGTTTAAAAACAGAAACAGAAGAAATGTGTAGAAAATGCTGAAAAAAAGCATAAATGTAGCAGAATTGAGCAGAATAAGCTGTAAAGGGCAGAGAGGCTGAATAGATTTAAAAAAATAAAAAATTAGCAAAAAAGAAACTGAAATTATCCGAAAGAAGCTGAAAGGAGCGTAGGATTTTTAAATAATTTAAAAAATGTGCATAAGATGGAAATTAGTAAAAACAAAACGGCAGAAAAAAGGCTAAAATTTCTGAACAATAAAATAAAAAAGTAGCTGAAAAATCAGAATAAGATTTAAATTAGTAGGAAAAAATGCTGAAAGGAGCAGAAATATAGCTGAAAAAGCTTAAATGAGCAAAAAGAAGCCGAAGAAAAGCTGAAATGAGCAACAAAATGAGCAACAAAAGAGAAAGATGTGGAGATTCACTCATTTAGCCAGAAAAACATGGCTGAAAAAGCTAAATGTTTCAAAAAGTAAAAACAGCACCTGTACCAAACGTGATGTCAGGAATGTCCTGAATGAGCTGAACGTTCTGATACAAGAGTTGTTGAAATAGCTCAAAAACTGTGGAACAGGACACGTGATGAGAAAGAAAAACGGACCTCCCCAGTGATTCATAAACATTCACACTAATAATGATTTTGTCCAGAGAATATTATCGGGCATTACGTAATCTCTGTGACATTTTGCTGACATCAGACATTTATTGATTCATTTCCATAAATCTAAGAAGTGATCATTTGTCAGTTGGTGTTTGAGATGAACTTCCTGTTTTGCTGCGAGTCCAGAAGTCTCGTAACTTTCTGCAGCTTGTCCGTCGACAACATTTCTGCTGCTGAAGCAGAAACTTTTGCAGTGACGTTGGTGCTGAGGACTCACTTTGGGCCAGTCAGAACCCAGACCTGAGCTGTCCACGTGCACTGTCTCCTTCTCGCCCACACAGCTCAACCTTTTTTTTTTTTTTTTTTTACATAAATGTCTGCCTAAAGCAGTTTTCCTCGTCAGCTCTTCGATCAGAATGTACTCTCTGCATCACCAGGACTCTCTCACACACAGTGGACTGTAATTAGAACTAGAAAAAATAAAACAAGTAATAACTTTGAAATGCATGATTCCATTGCTCGACGCTGCTCATGATCATGCCTCTGCAGAAATATTCAAACTGTTTAAATTGAGGCCTAAAATCATTTGAAGCCAACAAGCCTCTACACAGAAGTTGCACGGGAAACGAGTCATCATCTCCTGACGGTCATGAACAATTAGTGTTGGAGGAAAATAGTCTTTATTTATCTCACTTACTCAAAAGAGCCACACTCGACAGCACGAGGAGACTTTTAACCTTATTTACTTGCATGCTCAGATTTTCAGGACAGGTTGCACAGATATACAGGAAGTACAAACATGAAGACCAGTCAAGAGAATCTGTCACGAGTCGTCTGCCAAGCTTGTTTTTATTCTCTTATCAGTTGAGCTTCTGGTGCCAGCTGCAGCCTGAGCCAGCTCCTCATCCAGCTCTCTCTGCTGACAAACATATGGTTCATGGGCAGAGTTAACATCCATAAACTTTGACCAAAAATTACTTGACAATTAGAAATTCAAATGGTCGGAATAGGAGGAAGTAATCAGTGTAGTCCGAAAAAGGTGGACTAGAAAATACTAATATGATCAATAATGCTAATATTTTATGATTTAGACAATTTTTCAAGCACATCGTTTCTCCAACTTGTTAAATGTTTAACCTTAATTGAACCAAGTTGTTGGAGAAAATCTTTCTCTAACGTTGTTTACCCAAAAGAGCCACGCTCAACGGCAGGAGAAGATTTCTAACTGGTTCATACCTGCAAGGTCAGAGTTCAGGAGAGGTTAAATATTAATATACACATACAGTATGCATCTATGTATACGCATGAAAACCAGTCAGAGAAAACAGCCACGAGCCTCGTTGTCTGCTTCTATACTCCTCTCAGCTCAAAGTTCACAGAGTTCAGGAGTTGCAGCCTTCTTACACAGCGCCCTCCGTCTACACAAACATATGGTTCATGGGCAGAGTCTTGGGGGACGGTTTCGGCTTGTTTTGGGCTTCTTGTCCTCAGAGCAGAGAGGAGGAATGTTCTCAGTTCTGGTGATTAAAAACATCCATAACATCTGATCAAAACTCTGGTGGGTAAACACTCACACTCCGATCCGTTCCTCCACTGAGCAGTCGTGGTCGGGCTTTGGTTTCTGAGTGCGAGACCTGAGCACGGGTGACTCGGACCAGGTTGATTAGTTCTCTCACTTTAGAGTCCGAATCATGACTGTGGAGCCCAGAGACTGAGGACACACAAACATAAAGCCTCTGCTAAAAAACTAATAAATAACTTTTATATTTTTAAATGATAAAAACATTTTCGCAATAATTTTATCTAAGTCAAATTCACTTTAATCTGTCACTCTCAGTTAAAAAAGTGGCATTATTAAAGTCAACATTTTTGATATTATCTAAAAGTCAAATTATTAAATATATTAAACTTTTTTATTACGTTTAGATTAAATATTGTGTAATTAAAGTCATATTAATAAGTTTTGTTCTAATTAGAACAATCCTGAATGACAACACTGCTGTCACGTTCCCATTATCTCTTGATGCTGTTATAAGCCTAATTAAATCTTAATTTTTTAAAGGTCATACGTAGCACAAGCACCAAAAACCATAGCCAGCGTCACATAAATGATATTTACAATTATAAATTAGAATGGCTGTAGTAGGACAAAGTACACAGCTCGAGTTTTGTTGCAAAAATCAACAAGAAGAAGAAGATTGAAGATTCTTCATAGTGATTTGCATCACATGTGGTACATGAGGTGGAACAAAACTGTGTGCTCAAGGTCCCAGTTACACCCAAAAATAGCAAAAACATAAATACTATAAAAGGATCTAAGATATATACTAAACAATAAAATATAATATAATGCGGTGTCTTAAACAGCAGCCTGAACATAAGAAGATAAACAATAATAATAAGAACAATAAAGAGAAAGAGAATCAGAACATCGTGCGGTTTCAGTGCACACTAACTGTGTCCAGACCTGGGAGCAATGCGGCTCCGACGCTGCACGCTGACCTGCATGCACTCGTTCCCTCCAGACTTCGAGCTGCGGTGCCTCCAAAGCAGACCAGACCATTTCCTCCTGAATCTGCCGTTAGAGGCCGATTCCAAACGTAACCTAACGAGACGGGACGGGAAAGTCACAGAGATAATTTTGTGTTTACTGGACGTCACTGGATGTCAGAGGTTTTCTGTTTGGAAAGAGTCCCTTTGAATCATCCTGATGGAAAATGGCTCTTTGAGGAGTTCATCACAACAAGTTCCTTTAAATATTAAACTCTGATTCCACCTGACAGTGGGAGTAACATCTTTGTTGTTGAAGGACCAATTCATGAGAACTGTCTATTTAAGGTTGTCATGCAATAATGGTAATATGCACGTTTTGAACATGCTTTTATTCCACATAGTAAGTAGATTATAGGTTAAAGTTAGAAAATAACATATTTTGTTATTGAATATACATTTTTTTCCTGCTTCTTATTTAAAAAAGACATTAAATTCTGTACAATTGACTGGGTTACAGTCATTTAGTGGCATTTTATTTTTTTAATTCATCTAATTAAATTAAAGAGTTTAAAAATGTAATTGTGTGTTTTTAGAGTTTGTTGTGTTCTTACTTTTTTACATTTATTTATTTGAGCTTTTTAATAGTCTAATATCTATTTGAAAAGTGTTCGTTTCAGTTTCGTTTGTTTGGTGCCAGTTGTTTCCTAAAGTCATATAATAATCTTTTAACATACATTGTGTTTAGGGATTTTATTTTGACGGTTTCCTTTCATGTTCATGTGAAAGCCTTTCAGTTATAAAGTCTCTTACTTTTTGTAAATTATCAATTTTAAAAGTTTTTAAAGCTGATATTTTCAACAAAATGCTAAATAAAATAAAAAAGACAACTATTGTTAAGCGTTAGCCGTCACTCTGTGCACATCTGCAGCTTCAAAACACAACTGTTGAACAAGATGCTCGTGTTTAACTTCCTGTTTTCTTGTGTTACTTGTGTTTGGAACAGGACAGCTTTCCTGCCAGGTTTGGAGGGATCCATTTCGTGAACCAGCCCTGGTACATCCACGCCCTCTACACCGTCATCAGACCTTTCCTCAAGGACAAAACCAGGAAGAGGGTATGACTTTATTTAAAGACAAATGTTGTTTTAATAGTAAATTTACTGAGACTTTAACATTTACCAAATGGATACACTGGAAATACAGGTGTTAAAATATAGATTTAATTATTAAAAACAGAAAAACATGAAAAGGGTTTCAGATGTATCCCATGATGCAGTGCATCTGCCAGCACAGCCCCGCCCACATTAATGTCAGACCTTGCTTCTTAACTTTAACTCCATTGAATTTGAACATGTGAGTTTTGAAACAAACTAGAAAATTCTTTTGACAGGGACTGCCACGTTGCAGACGTTTAAAATTGTTGATTTGACAGTAATCTGTGTTGGGGTTCATTCTCAGCTACCCTACACCAAATTTCAGCTTAATATCTCTTTAAAATGGCTGATTTATGGTACTTCTTCTTTTTAGCTCAGGCTACCATTTTGGATTTCTGATTTGCAACCAGAGTCCATTAGAGATTGTTCTCAGTTACCATATCACCAAATTTCAGCTACAAAGCTCTGAAAACCTTTGAGTTATATCCGTTTGAAATTAGCTTTTGCAGCCATCTTGCATTTTTAGGTTTGAATTCAGAATGTGTTGTGCGTTGCTGTCGGGTACCACCACACAAAACTTCAGCTCATTCTCTTTTAAAATAGCTATGGTGGCCATCTTGGATTTTGAATTTTGTATTAAGAATTTAAACAACTCTCTCTCAGCTACAAACATACCAAATTTTAACTCAATATCTAAAAAAAGTGACTGCGTTATAGTCAATTTTGAGTTTTCTGAGGCAGCCATCTTGATCCAAAATGGCTCCAAAAGATAATTTGTTCAGATACTTCTTCCCCTAGGTCATGTGACCTCACTGTGGCAGTTAGAGGCTGTCAAAGTTCTCTCATTGTTTTCAATGAGAAAAAAAATTATCTTTGTTTGCACATTATGTTGCCATGGTAACTCAAAATGCCAATTAAAGTAAAAGCACCAAGCCGGTTGTTTTGATGTAAAATTTGTGGGGGGACACGATGTGATTTGGGCCACATTAAAGTTGATAGAAGCTTTTTCAGGTGGATAATAATCGGTGACTGCCTTAAAAGTCTTCAAACCAGAAACGTTCCTCTAATGGTTCTGCATTTACTTCCCTCTGAAGATCTTCATGCACGGCAACAACCTGAACAGCCTCCACCAGCTCATCCACCCAGAGATCCTGCCGTCTGAGCTGGGGGGGATGATGCCGCCGTACGACATGGGGACGTGGGCCCGCACGCTGCTGGACCACGCCTACGACGAGGAGACGGACTACTGCCCCGAGTCCTACACCCTGTCGGTCCAGGACCTGGAGAGAGACCTGGAGAAGAACATGTCTCCAAAAAGCATGAAGAGGTCAGTGTCAGACTTCCAACTCGTCTGTTTTATGTTTTCATCTGGAGCAGAGCGTCAGCGTGAAGCTGCTCAGGTTTTCTTTATAAAGTAAATAACTGAAACAATTAGAACTCGTTTTCTTCTTGTCATCGTTGGTTCCACTCAGGAGGATAAAAATGCACTAACTGGTTCAATATATTTGCATTCATTTGATTATTTTCTTTATTCTGCAAGAAACAATGAGTTTGTAGAAATGAGCAGACTAATTAATGTGTCAAATAAGAAAATAGAAAAAAGACGAATATTAAGTAAGTAAATGTATTTCATGTGCAAACCTTTCAGAAAGTAAAATAAAAAGTCTTTCAAACATTTCATATATATATATATATATATATATATATATATGGAAGAAATTAGGAAATGACTGCAGATGTTTAGGTAAATGTTTGCTGTGTGTTCCCCTCATTGTTTCACTGATTAATCTTGACAGATTATATCAACTTAAAGACCAGTTTGTTGTTTTTTTTCTGTGAATTTGTTTGACATTTCCGGCTGTATCATGTCGCCCTATAGGCGAGTGTTTAATGTGATTTAGTGTGACAGTAACTCGTCTGCTTGCTGTGAGACACGAGCAGACACGTCCTCTTAAACACGCTGGTGTTACGGAGAACAACAATCTGTCCCTGCAGGGCACTGCAGCGCTGCCATTTATCACCCAGTCATCCAACCATCCATTATCTTTACCCACTTCTTCCTTTACGGGTCACTGGCGCCCATGTCCAGCAGTGTGTGCGAGAGAGGGGGGGACACCCTGGACTGTCCATCATAGGGACAGAGACAAACGAGGCAAACAACCATTCACTCTCTCATTCAATTTAGAGTCACCAATCAGCCTAACATGCATGTTTTTGGTCTGTGGGAGGTACCCGGAGAAAACCCATGCAAGCACGGAGAGAACATGCAAACTCCACCCAGAAAGACCCCCAGCTGGGATTTGAACCTGCGACTTTCTCGCTGAGAGGCGACATCCTCTAATTGTCACACTGTGTCATTAAACACGCCCTCAGTGGTCCAGTAAGGTTGAGTCAGGTCCTCTGGATGAATTCTTCTTGTTGAAACGTTTAGTCCTGTATCCATCCCTTCAGGTTTTAGTCGTCTCTGACGCCACTTTATTTTAGCTGAAGATGAACACAAATGTTTGGTTAGATGCAGTGGAACCTTCATCAACGCATCGCTCCAGTCCCATCACCTAATCCTCCAAATCTGACCCAGTCAGCAGCAGCAATAGTTACCAGAACCCTGTGGGTAATGTACTTTATAAGGTGTGGCCATACTTTACAGTTAGTGGTGCTGAAGCTGAGTCCCAGCAGGTTTCTGTGAAGTCAGGGTATGATATATAAAGTAACAGTAAACAAAATAAGTGTTGGTCCACCTCAAATTAATTCAACCTTAATTTATACAGATAAATCACATTGAGCCTCGAGGACTCATTTACAAGTGAGACCAGACAAAAAGTAATGAAAGTTACACATGTAGGATTTGGAGGCAAAAAATAATCCTAATAGACTCTCACTCTATGGCCGAGGAACAATAGCCTGAAATTGAAAAAAACACCCCGCACATAAGCACATAATGATGCAGACATTCCATGGGGGAAGGGAGATGACAAGGGCGGTGAACGTGTCCAAGGACACTCCAGAGGCACTGTAGGAGTTCTGATAAGAGTGGTACAATTAGCCAGTTCCCTCTGGTGAGATCCATAAACACTCTGGGGGGTGCCGAGGTCGACCTAGAGTCAGAGATTCTTTATTGTCATTGAACAAAATTATGTACACAGGGTCCCAGTTACATCCAACATTAAATTGTAAAAGAAAAACAATGATAACTGCTAAGATATGAACCAAGAAAAACTTCAACTAAAAATACACTAAGCACTAATAAAAAAAACATTACGTCGAACAGCAGCACGAACATGAGTCTGTGTGAGCAGATGAGCACGCATGAACACAGCAACATGAAACAGATCAGCAGCAACATGAAACAGATCAGCAGCAACATGATATGGTTTTTCACAGTGATTATTCTGGTTAGAGATTCATGAGTCTAACAGTCTCAGGGTAGAAGCTGTTCCTCAGTCTAGTGGTTCTACACTTAATGCTCCTCAACCTCCTTCCTGAGGGGAGAGGAGCTAAAAGTGTGTGTGCTGGGTGAGTGGGGTCCTTCATGATGCAGGTGGCCCTCTTCCAGCATCTGGAGGTGTTTGTGATGGTGGGGAGACTGACTCCAACAGTTTTCTGTGCTAGGACAGCACCAGAGAAAATCCAAGAGTCCTGAAATGATGACGCAATGTTTATTCAGCCGGGTCCCTCTGATAGGTCCGCAGACTTCCTCAGTGGGAGATGGGAGGGGCTATATGTAGGTAAATGCTGTATATAAAGAAGTAAAGACCTTTAAATGGGAAACAATACCAGATATTGTGTTCCTCTGCTTCACAGATTGTTTCTAAAGCCTAAGAAGCAGCAAAGTGGAACCCGCTGATCAAGTTGTGATTCAGTTTTAGTCCTGGTCTTGTTCATCAGATCCAAACAGCCTTTAGAAGACACTGATGCTCACGGTGTTGGCCTTTTTGTTTGTGCAGGTCTCAGTCAGTGGTGGAGCCAGGAGTCCTGAAGAGACCAGACAAAGTCAAGAGTGAAGAAGACAACATGCAGCCGCTGCTCTCGCTGGACTAAAACCACAAGATTACAGCTCAGAAGCAGAAACAACGTTGCAACACACGGAAACACTCATCTGTGCACACGTCCTGCAAAAAGACCTTCCTGCAGGAAACTTTGCTGCAGCTTTTGGAAGAACAGACGACCTGCAGAGCGGAGGCATCTCCCTTGGACAAAAGAGCTCGTGATGTTCTTCGATACAGGATATTTATTTATTTAGTTACATGTCAAGTGCCAATTCCAGAATCTGTAAATATGACGTCTTTAAACAATCCAGAAAAAGCAGGGAAGGTGCAGAGCAGGCAGAGGTGCCACGAATGTGTGAAGTTCTACCCCAGTTTCAAACTATCCCATCGATTGAAGGACGAGAAGAAACTTTACATCAGATTTCAAGGAAGACTTGAGGCCGCAGCTTCCAAATAAGCATTTTTATTTTATTTTTATTGTTTTTGTGCAGTAATCTGAAGAAAACCATCCACCTGGGCAGGAAGGAACGCTCAGATTAATCAGGTGAGACGATGATGAGCTGGTTCCCAAACTGGCAAACAGCCTCTGGTTTTAATGGAGTTTATTGGCTTGTTACCAGATCGACATCTTTCCTAAAATAATGTCGCTCCAGTTATCTCGTGGAAAAGCAAAGCTCTCTTCTCGGTAAGAGTTGTCTCAATGAATCATCTGCTTTTTCCCTCCAGCCATCTTCTTTCTGGTTCTGACCCAGATGTCACAGAAAGCAGCACTTTCCTCCACCGTTAAAGAAAACTCCGAAGCTGCAGGCTCCTCTCAAACAACTCACGTCACCGCGTGTCCGTCTGGCACAAGATTGATTCTTTAACGGGTTGCCCCAAAAACACAGGGCTGCATTTTGTTTTTTTAATTCTTAGCAGAGAAAATACATCAAAATGTTCCGGGACAAGTTGTGTTTTTATTCTTCTTCATGTGTTATCACAGCTTAGAAACAGTTTTTGTTTTCTCTACAGCATTTATAGAATTACAGGATTGTCTTTTTCTGCTCGTTTGCAGGAAAGAACGCTCGATATTTTAGTTTAGAGGTCGTTAAATTAGCTGAAATTTTATGATTCGACACACTTGTGTAACAATTCTCATGAGCTCTCAGCTCCCTCCCTGCTACATAATCACTTCTGCAGAAGTTATAACATTCATGTGCCCAAAGGAAAATTTCAAGCTCATTAAATCTTTACCTTTGACACACAAAAATATCTAATTGACTCGTTTAAATCAGGTCAGCTGTCCTGAAATTAAAGTTTTTATCCTGCATGTTTCAAATCAAACGGATGCATTTTTACACCCTGCACATGCACTTGTTCATGCAGCAACATCATGTTCTTTTAACACAATGTTCAATAAAAAATAATGTGTTCATGACAATAAGTCATATTTTAAACCTGGCTGCTCAAAATGACGCCACGCGGCTGCAGGTCACTAACCCTCGGGGTTCAGGGAGAAAATCCACGTTATGTTTTTTCAATTTAAATTATTTTGGATCTTTAAGTGATTTTTTTAACGCTTCACCACGTTATCACATTCTGCTGCGACTGCTGGAGGTGATCTGGACTCGTTGTGAGAAAAGACACACATTCTATGTTGTGCCAACAATGTTCACTCAGGTCATCTGGACGGTTTCTTTTTTGTGCTGAGACGTTTCACCCTCCATCCAAAGGGCTTCATCAGTCTGAAGAAACACCAAATAAAACTGATCCTCCACCGACAACTTACTCCAGAGTGGAAAAAAACAGTTATGTTGGTGCTAAGATGGTCTCTGGGACACGCCCTCTCCTCCAGTGCCCGCCCTCTCCCTCATCAACAGTCATGTCAAACTGGTTCAAAACACCAAAGTCCATGCTCAATAATCCAGGTATAAAATCCAGGGCAGTTTCGTCCTCCATCCACCTGGATTTTGGTGTCCATCTGTCAATCCGTTTTGTTTGGTGTTTCCTCAGACTGATGAAGCTCTTTGGATGGAGGGTGAAACGTCTCAGCACAAAAAAGAAATCATCCAGATGACCTGACTGAACATTGTTGGATTTTATACCTGGATTATTGAGCATGGACTTTGGTATTCTGTGGTCTCCCTTAACTCAGTGTTTGTGAACAACAAACAACATTAGAAAGTTGTGACTTATTGTTGAGTTAAGAAATTTGCAGAAGTGCCGGTCGTGCACATTGTTTTATTGCCCACCTCAGCTCAGTTTGCACCCACCTCGACACCTGCCCCTCCTTTTTGATTTAATGTGTTGAAATTCACTTTAGACGTGAAGACTTGGACCAGTTTTTAGTCATTTTTCATAACTGCCGTGGTTTTTAAACCTGGACACGTCACAGGAGAGCTCCCGTGTAGAGTAACTCTGTTTTGTGAATATTTTGAACAGGTTAAGTTTTCAAGCGATACAGGAGGGATCTTCTGTGAATCACATAAGGAAATTAAAAATTAAAAAAATCACACATTTTGAGACATTTGGGAAGCCGTCACCAAAAATGTTCTCAGCTTGTCTCCAACAGTTGCCTCCCAGTGCAACTTTAGTTTCAGAAACAATATAAAATCTACACAAGTTCACTCTTTTTTTTACAATCACTCTCCATAAAGTGAATAGTCATCAATAATAAATGTAGGTAATAGAGACACACAGGGACAATTATTCATCTCACACAGGATTTCATTTTCTTTCTTGTAAACTTGATTAAAAGTAAATGTAGTAGAAATATTCTTAATAGCTTTAACAACTATTTTCTGTACAAATATGTTAAAATACTTAGAGTTTATGTTGAAGTTTATTTGATAATATTCATATTTAGAGAACAGAATGTTATTCTAACAGTGTTAGAGGTTAAAGTTTAAACGTGTGTCAGATAAACCGCTGCAGCAGGAAAGACAGGACAACTAAAATAACACAAACTGTTTCTGTTTGATCCTCTGTTTTTTATTTCTTACAAAAACTCGTCCCCATGAAACCGTTGTAACAAGCCATAGTATACCCCTTAATCCAGACTATATCTGAGGTTAAATGGACCTAGGCTAGATTATATCCCAGGTAGACCACGGCCTAGGCCAATTTATACTCCATGGTATAAATCTGTCTAGATTATACCCCATGATGTCTGCCTAAACTATTTTATACAACCGGGCATGGGCATCAGAAGTGTTTGTAATGTGGGGGACACACACTGGGTGTGTGTGTGGGGGGGTGGGGGGTTCTGGGGATCCTCCCCCATAAAATTTTGAATAAAGTAGATGCCATTTCCTGCATTATTTATTTTAACAGGTTGTTAAACGTTTACCTACATAAGTAAACAGTTGATTCAGTAACTATTTTAAAGAGCAACAAGAAGTAGCCTGACCAACATCTCTCCTTGTGTGAATAGAGCACACTCCACTTCTCTCAAGCTCCCCCGCCCGCCTTCCCCCACGTGTTGAAAACTGCCGGAACTACCGTAGCGCTAAGCTAGTGGTGTGCAATACAGATGCATTAGCTAAGATGCTACAGACGTAGCGCTCCACTTCTCTCATGCATCCTAACAACCCCCACCCCCGTCAACAACTGCCAGCGCTAACGTGGCGCTAAGCTAGTGTGCAAAACAGAGGTGTCTCCCCCTCCTCTCCCCGTGAGCACCCTGCCAAGGCTGATCACCTCAAGGAAACGGTGTAGTGAGCTGTTATAGGTACCAGGAAAACCCGGAGTGGACTTTTAGTGGTTTGAGTATTCTCCTGTTGATCAAGTGGAATGGATTAGTTCATGAAGAAATGGAAACAGCGCTGGGTGAACTAATATTTCATGGTGGGGGTAGGGGGGTCTGAATGAATATATTTAAAATGTTGGGGGACATGTCGCCTTCACATATAATTGTTGTGACGCCTATACCCCCGGGTACAGTTTGACCTGGGTCTGTTTGTCCCCAGGTGTATGCTCTGGTCTGGGCCAAACCATACCTGAGTTTAATCTGGGCAGGGGTTAATCTGGCCTGCTGCACCGGCACCATCTGAAGGTGTTTTATGTCCTGCTGTGGGTTTCCCACCTGGAACATCCAGGCCTACAAAGTAAAGGCTCGACAGCTGATTGTTGACGTCAGGATTGGAAACGGTGCCTCTGATGAGCGGAGCACCGCAGACCCAGCCTGCCAAACAGGCAGCAGAGCAGGTCGGATAAATGCCGGCAGGCAGGAAGCATCAGGCTGCAGCCAGACAGGACAGCTGGAATGTTAACCCATCGTACCCCACTCAGAACAGCTCACAGCCACTGTCCCGGTTTCATGTTGTGTAACCAGGCAGATTAATTTTCATACTGTTCGTTTATTGAGTGTGCAATCAACGAGTGCCCCTGAGCAAAAACACTCTAGAGAAAAACTCTTTAGAAGCAGCTGTATACAGTTACATCACCACGTATGACTGCGGAGGCTTCACGAGACTATTTGAGCTCACAGCCGCTTCAGAAGCCTTCATCTAGATCCGTTTCACAATAAATTCACCTGCATACGGCTCCATTCAGATATTGGTGGTGTCCTGATACCAGCTTCGAGTGGTCGTACTATAAAAACACACTCATACTTCAGATCAATGCACTTTTTTGGCTTGGTGATGTCATTTCCTCTTTCACTTTGCAACTAACTGAGGACAAAAATCAAAAAAGCTGTAGTTTGGAGATCTTTTAAAATAAACAGTGGTGATGTTAAGACTGTTTGACATGTTTCTAAAGTCACGGTGAAATGTTTAAGTACAAACTCAATGGCTACTCAGTATCGATGAGGACCAAAGCCGAAGTACTTGTACTTAATCTGAAAAATAAAAGCTCGTATCGGGACACCCCTAACTGTTGTCAAGGTATTTAAAAGTCCCCCTGCAGTCTGATGCTGTGATTTGATTCAACATGAAGCCACAAAATCTGAAATTTTCATGAATGTTTTTTATATATTGTTCTATTTTTGATGGAGTTTAACAATTCAGTCTCATCTCTTTAATTAAACACTTAATTCGGTTCTTTAATAGAACAATTATTAGCACTTTCATTAAACAATAATTACAAATAACTGTCAGTATTCAAGTCTTTTTCCAAAAACAGAGAAATAAACGCAACACAAAGTTAAAATAAAACATGATGAGACTTTTTTCCAACAGTGTGACAATAATTATATAAACTGAATGAATCAGACTCACAACAGGGAAAATAAACTTTCTATTTTCTAAAAGGTATTATAGATAAACATCTAGCATTTTTAGGTATTAATCTCTCTTCTTCATCAAACATCTGCTCTCTTTTTGTTTGTAAAGTCATTAAAGGTGTCAAAGAGCAGAAGGAGATTGAAAGAAATCCGAGATTCAGGAGAAAGAAATGTAAAATAAATAAAATCACACACTCACTGTAGATGCTTCCAGTTGTTGGGATACAACGTTTACATAAAAAACAAAAAGTGTTCAGCCGAAATATAATTATCACTCAGATAAAGGGTGTCCTGCAAGTTAAAGTTGGCATTGAAGGTTGTTTCTTGTACAAATATGTAAAA